TTACAGCGAGAGGCAAAACTGGAAGTAGGTCTTATTTTCGGGGGATGTCTTACTTTCGGGGAAACAGGGTATAACAAACAAAACCGATTTAAAATTATTTTTTTAGAAATGCTAATTCACTTTTATTTATACAATTTCAATCAAGAGTTTCCCTCCATATCACCCAATTATTCTGTTTATAATTACAGCAAATTCCGACTAAGCCAAAAAACATGTTAAATTACTGTAGAAACTGCTTCAAGAGGATTAATTTTAACATATTTTTGCTAATAAGCTATATAATATGCACAGATTTGGGAACAAGTTCAGAATTCATTTATAAATGTGTAAATATGAGTAATTCCAAAGAAGTAAAGGGAGTTGTTCTAGTCTAGCATCAATTTACGTAAGATAAGAAATTAGCATGCTGTACCCAAATATTTTACCTCTTGGAATTATTAATAGATGTACACTTTACTGCAATTTAAGAGCTCTTGGTCTTAGAATAAGGAAGGCTATGAAAATCTCAAATTATAGTGAATATACAGCATTGTGTTATAGGCTAAAATAGCTAAAGTAAAGTAGTCTTTAAGAATACTGTATGTCAACCGCAGATTTGTTATTTTGGAGGAAGTACTAATTGCAAAGTGGAAGTAAATTAAGGGATATTTACTGAAGAGAAAATGAGCAACTAGCTACAGTGCTGATACAAAGGTATGTAATTTGTACAAACCACACCAGTGTCAGATAATCCAAGCTACCTGGCTTTGCCAGTATAAATTATGATTGATGACTGGCTAAGCTGTTCTTGAGGATTTTTAATGCATATATATGTGTTTTCCCATGGTAAGAACAAGGAACTGGGACTCAGGATTCATGTGCTGGCCTCTTAATGCAAAATAATGGGACCAGAACAGTGTAAATGGGCCTTAACAGGCCCATATCCAGCCACAGAAAGATTCCAGTGGTGCAAGAACTGTTGAAAACAGCCATAAATCTGCCTCCCAAGGACCCCTGTATAAGCCCTGGCTTGCAGGAAGTGTTGGAGGGCAGCTGCAGCACACAGCATCACAGAGATTCTGGCCAGCATTGATGCCAATAGGGAGGTTGCTGTAATTTAGACAGACTTCCTGGACTGTCTAAATTGCACCTGTCTCTGGAGCAGCCCAGCATGCAGAAGTTTCAAAGGTGGTTTAGATCCACCTTAGCACTCCTCCGTTGGCTGCAAGTTAGAGGTGTAGCACAGAATCTCACCCTAGATTCTGTTCCTTGCTCTACCCTGACTTACTATGTGGCAAGGAACAATTCACCTATCTGCGCTACATTTTACTTATTTATTTACTTAAAATTGAAATAATATTTGCCTAGTTCATAAGGATGTTGCAAGGTTTAATAAGTGCTTCTAAAGCACTCATTTCCTCAGATGAAAGGAGGCCTAACGTAAGGCTGCTATAGTAATAATTTTTTTCATTAACAAGCATCCAAGCATTCTTGTTCCAACGCTTGTTTTACTGTAAGATGTGGGCCAATGTGAAGAAAACCCCACTCTTCTTGCATGTGTTTCAGTTCTCAGATGTCCTCTCTACAATATACTGAGCAGTGAAGCTGTAAAGCAGCGATAGTCAGACTGAGGCTTGTGAACTGCAAGTGGCTCTTTAATGTGTCTCCAGCAGCTCTCACTGTGTGATTTAATTATTAACCAATCTAAGTTATTAACCAATCAGGATGTTTTTACTATGTTATTAACCAATTTGAATTGATAAAATAATAATACTTAGTCATTTTGCTGTGAGAATGATGTCTATATATAATAGTAAATGAAACAATGAATTCACACTTTTGTGGCTCTTTAGGGTAATGGTAATCACTAATTTGGCCCCTGAACCACTGAGGTCTGAGTATCACTGCTGTAGAGTATCTTGTTCCAAAACTATGTCTGTTTTCTTGGACCCTCTTCAAGATACCATTGCCAAAAAGCAGTGAAGTGTTTAAGGAATCTTCTGCACAGTAATTCTGTCTTTAGAATATTTAAATTGATTCTCCTCCTTTTTTTCAAGCAAAGATTCAGTGTGTGCCCCTGGTCCACCATCCGGCAGTTTGGAATGGCACCAACAGCAAAGGATACAAAAATGGACACTTTTAGAGCACCAGAATTAATACCACTACAACCATTGGCATAAGCAGACCGCAGAGGAGGTATCTCGTATTACACTATGAAACAAATATGCTCCTGTTTACTACATGTGTGGAATAACTGATGCGATTAAACAGGAAAAGAAAGTGAATTATTTGCATAAATTATTTAATGACTGCTGCTTCAGTCTTATTCCCCTCAGACCTTAGTATTTAGCACAAACTCACAGTATCATGTTGACAATTTTAAAAATGAAAACAAAACATGAAATACAGTTTTAAAATTATTTAAAGAAATACATACAGCAAATTTCTGAATGCTCATCACTGGCATCCAAACAATCATCATCTCCATCACAGCGCCAGCGGTCCTGGATACAGCGCTTGTTGTTACACTGAAATTCTCCAGGTTTGCACAACTGAGGTAACACTTCTCCAGGATTAACTAGAAAAAATCCAAGTAGTGTGCATATTTTTAAGCTTGATATAAAAAATGCAATATTACCTGCACATAAGCAGATATGAATTCTTCTTCATGCTGTATCTCTTAAGAACATCCTGTTCTTAGTAAGCTTTACATATTCACACTAATTCCATCCTACAGTCGGCTGTATATCCACACTTATGGTTGATGTACTTAATATATTTTTAATAAACAAGTGCACACTCAGATTACATTATCACCCAGGAACAAATTTTACAAGTTCAGAAGACAAAACAGACACAGAATTCATCATGAAATCATTGTTCTCATAATGATTTGTAAAATATGCTGATGCCGCCTCAAAAGTTAGTAAAAAAAACATATACAACAGGACAAATATGCTCTCAGTTATACATGTCGGATCATGATAACCTAAGGCCCAATTTTGTGTCCCATGGCATAGCCCAAGCACTTGGATTGTGTAATGAAGATTTCCTTTGGACGAATGGGGTGTAAAGATACTTGAGCATATTAGAGGTTATCAGGTTCTGACTTATTGTAAGCCAGAACATGGCGGATCTGGGCATAGTTATATAAGGACAGGGGAAGCTGATACACAGGAGTCTATTATAGACAAGGGTGTGTCTTCTCTGCTCCCATCTGTAAAGGCCTCAAGTGGTTAATACCCAGTAGTTTGAGTTGATAAGTTGTAGGTTTAAGTTTTGTTTCTGGAAATAAAGCAAGCCCTGAGGAAAGTGATATGAGGTGACCTGTAACTCAGATTTTATTTTTCCTTCTCCATCTGATGAGTCAAACACTGGCTTACAACAGAAAAAAATCCTTTGCAACATCCTTCCCCGCCCCTCAGAAGTCTCTGAATAGGGGTTCCATGGGATTCAAGCTTATGTGGCTGATTAGGGAGAAGCCAACAGACTGGGGCAGGAGAACTGCAGAGGTGACAAAATGATTCACACTTTAACAGTACCGATCGTCATTAATTTACCCACATTATTCCCCTGCATTTTGGAGCCCCAACAAAGTGGAAGTCCTATGGACAGTGTTTTGTTTGAGACTTCCTTGCAGCACGACTCCTAGAGGAGTTGCCCCTGGCAGAAGTTAATTTGTAGGCAGTAGGTCTCCATTTCACAGTATAATAGAAACTCTACAAGGGGAACCCCATGTAACCTCTGCATAAGGGAAAATCTGGATTTCACTTCCTTATACCATTATTATGATCTTCTGTACTTCATAGGCCAACTCTCACTCTCAGATTGCTCACACAAAATTCACATTGACTTCACTGTGAGTGTGAGTTTTGAATGAGCAATGTGAGTCAGACTAGCTCTTTGTATGCACCGGTACTCATCTGCCTATGTTTTCAAACTTTGCATAATAGTTATGTTCCAAGAATATACAACTACCCTGGATAGTGTTAATAAAATTTAAGCTGTTAATTGAAAATATGAGTAATGCATAAATTAATGAGACATTCTCATTTTGTACAGCTATAGCTAAAGAAGTTCAGGAATGTTCAATATAATGGACAAAAGATTTAATATAAGTAAAATTAATCATATGTTCTTATAAAAAATGGCATATTCTATAATTGAATTTGTTCCAAAATACTAAAGCTAGAAATTTGCAACATTACCAATATTACATTGGTGAATTAATATTTTTTGAGTGGCAAGTTTAATTTTGTTACAAGCCGATGTCTTTTTCAGCAGTATTTGAATAAAGACGTCCAGAGGACGGTTAAGCTATTCGGAGATTGGTGCATCTTCTATCCCTGGTTTTGTCTTACATATAAAGCGTCAGCTTCAATTTTTCACAGTTTCAACTTGAGGATTTGCTATGCTTGATTTCTCCTTAAGATATTTACTTCAGTGAATGCCATGAAGCCAGTTAATATGCTTTTATTATTACTTTTATTTTGATGCCCTGTGAAACGTAACAAAAAGTCTTTGGAAGCATCGGTGTACCCTATTATATTAGACACTATGGAATATTTTCAAATGCATTTAACTTCAAATATTGCACATTTAATAGTTTTGTTTCACTCTTCAAGCTTTAACTATCTGTGCTCAATTAGAAAGTTTATTCAATTAATAGTTATTTGTCCAATGTAAAATTGCTGAACAGTAATAAAGTCTCTAGGAGAATTTTTTTAATTTTCAGATTTGAATTTATCTCTCCCATAACAGTAATATATATCCAGATATTCTTCAAGAAAATCTTACTCATGCACATTGTACTGTTTTCCTCTAGGCGCTGATGATCAGCACAGGCACAAACTCTGCCTCCAGGAATGGCTAAACAAAGAGTGCTGCAGCCTCCATTATTAACACGACATGCATTGTCACCTGCAATTAAAAAAAAAAAGTAGTCTTAAGACATAATTGCTCAAAATCCATGCTGTAACTAGAGAGCATGTAGAAAATGAACTGCGATCTGCTTTTACGTACAAGGAAACATGTTATTGTGGAAGTTCTTCTGCTGTTATTGTCTATACCTGCAGGTTATACAACAAAAATTATATCATCAGTTCATAAATGTTATCTCTCACTCTTTAATAAATATTAGCATTCTTACAGGACACAGACGCATGAGTTCAAAAATTAAAGTGAACTTCATTATTTTTAAATAGACAATAACAGAAAATGAAAAAATCTCAACTATATTGGCAGCTGAGACCCAAGTGAAAAATGCGACTACAATGACAGACTAGGTTATTATATCCCAGGCCTGAGAAGCTGGAAGTGTTATGTGGAGAATAATGAGTAAAATGCATAATATAAAATCATTCTATCAGCAATAAATATTTAACTCAAATGCACAAATTATCAGTGTAATCTGGCACTCAGACTGACTGACCCAGAGTAGACTAGGATCCTTTTCATCATTCTCAAATCTAAATTTAATTTGGCACGCTTACAAAAGCTTAGAAATGAAAGAAAGTGAAAGCTAGACAGGCCAATGAGTCTGCATAAACTCTTTAACATCACTTAACTTCTGAACTCAGTGGCAATCAAGCTTGGTTCATATTGTTCCCTCCAACCAGGACTGCCACTTTTAAAAAAGGAGTTTCCAGCTATGGCTATGGTTTTCCTGCTATTACTGCATGATCCTAGTTCCAAATATGTAATACTTTATAGTACTGTTTGGCTTTTTATCAAAGCGACAGTTCACCATTTTCATGTGCCAAAATTAATTACACCTTTAGTTATATATAAAGAGCTCTGTTTGAAACCTGAAAAACTAAAGGAATAGAAAAGTCAATAAATTCATAATTGAGAATAAATAAGAAAAGGAAATGCTGAAATATATCAGGATATACTTTTCAGTGTTGTGAATGGGAGTTAAGCACTCGCTTATTCTAATGTGAGTTATGCTCATAATTTGCTAGTGCCTATGAATTTTAAATTCTGAAGAACAAATTACTATTATGCCAGAATTGTATGCCTTTGTCATATGAAAAAGTAGAAACTGACAAGTTACTTTCTGTCCTGTCATGAAGTGACATTAAATAGAAAATCATTATAATAATTTCATAAGCTTAGTTAGAATTAGACTGAAACACTTCTAATGTTGGTCCTATCAGGGCTGGCTCAGCTGGTGCTTGGGGCGGCAGACTGTTCGAGGCGGCATTCTGCCCAATCCGAGGGCGGCACAGCCGCAATTTTTTTTTTGTTCTTGTTCTGCTCCGGCCGCCCTGTAGGGGGCGGTGGCGCGGAGAACCAGAGTGCCCTGCAGGGCAGTCCTCTTCCTTCCCTCCCCGCCGACCGGA